CTATTTTCCCAAGAAAAACAGAAAAAGAAAAAATTATACTAGAATCAAGGCACATTGATAAGGTATCTAATTTATAGCCAAACTATGGATGAGCAAACTTATTGGCTAAAGCAATATATTGCTTGGTAGAGGTTTGTCATCCACATGTAAGTATCACAGGGCAAAGGCCTTCAAGAAACTGAGAGAAACAGATTTTTTCCTTTTATAGCAACAAAAATAAAGAAGTACAAGCCTAAATTTGTATAGATTCCAAATTCCTTTAACCTCAACATCCATTCGCCCCAGTATTTTAACACATATCTACTTTGTCTGCAGTCTGTGATACCTGAACAGAGGAAACTTCGGAAGTCACCAAGTCGCTGGCAGGTTTAGACTCTGGTCTTCTTCGAGTGGAAACTACAGGTTCTGATTTACCCTCTGCTTCGGGACTTTGGTGAACAGACTCAGCTCGCTCACAGTTTTCGCCTTCAAGGGCAGAGGCTTCTTCAATTACTATTGGACTCTCATTATCATCTTTATCAGACATGATTAGAACATCACCTGAAAAATAAAGCCAAAAGAAAATTCTTTATATAGGCTTACATTCTGAGTCTTAAATTTGCAAGCAAGCAAAAGAAATAATAACAAAAATTCCACACACCTTCACTCAGTTTTCCACAAGGATTATAATTTGTACAATCACAACCAGGATATTAACACAGATGCAATTTCGTTCACATTTTACAAGTTGTACGCACTCACTTGTAACTAGCTAAGTAAATTCTATCACATACACAAATCCATGTGACTATTAACAGTCAAGGCACAAAATGGTACACGAAGATCCCGCATATCACTCCCTCGGCCTTGCTCCCTGCAGCCCATAACCACCACTGATCTGCTGGCCATATAATTTTGCCATTCTAACATGTTACGTAAATACAATATATTACCTTTTGAGGTAATTCAGTATTAAGTACCTCAAGAGCCACTTCAGTCATGTATCAGTAGTTCCCTTTTACTCCTAAGTAGTAGTCCATAGTATGGACATATCACAATTTGTTTTACTTCCACAGTGAAGAATATCTGAGCTGTTTCCACTTTGGGCTATTATGAATAAAATTGCTACTTAAGTTCCATACAATTTTGCAAAACATAAGTTTTGATTTCCCTGGAATAAATGACTGGCTGTGCAATCTCTGAGTCATCTGGTTAAGTGCATGTTTAGTTTGTAAGAAGCTGTTATACTCTTTTCCGTAACAGTCACGCCAGTTTTCATTCTGCATTCTCTCCAGGTTGGTGGTGTCATTAGTGTTCACTTGATCCAGTTTGATAGGTGTGTGGTGGTACCACACCATAGTTTGAAGGCACATTTCTCTAACAGTTAATGATGCTGAATATGCTTTCATGAGTTCACTGCCATCTATACATCCCTAGGAGTAATGTTTATATCTCTAGCCAACTTTTTTTTTTTTTTTTTTTTACTGCTGAGTTTTGAGAGCTACTTTTTTATGCTACACTCCAACCTCTCTTGGATATGTGGCTTCAGTATTTCATTCCAGTCTGGAGTTTATTTTTATTTTTTAAAAAGGTTTATTTTATTTTATTGCAAAGTCAGATACACAGAGAGGAGAGACAGAGAGGAAGATGTTCTTTCTGTCCAATGTTTCACTCCCCAAGTGACTGCAACGGTCAGTGCTGCAACATGCTGAAGCCAGGAGCCAGGAACTTCCTTCAGGTCTCCCACACGGGTGCAGGGTCCCAAGGCTTTGGCCTGTCCTCTACTGCTTTCCCAGGACACAAGTAGAGAGCTGGATAGGAAGCAAGGCAGAAGGGATCAGAACTGGTGCCTGTATGGGATCCTGGTACGTTCAAGGAGAGGACTTTAGCCGCTAGGCTACTGCATCGGGCTCAGTTTATTTTTCTAATGTATGCATAGGGTCTTTCATAGAAAAAAGTTTTTTTTCTTTCATTTCAATGAGATTCAGTTTATCAATTTTTCTTATTATTGGTTATCCTTAAAAAGTCTTATTAAATTGGGCGCAGCACGATGGCTCAGTGGTTAAATCCTTGCCTTGCATGCACCAGGATCCCATACAAGCGCTGGTTTGTGTCCTGGATGCCCCGCTTCCCATCGAGCTCCCTGCATGTGGCCTCAGAAAGCAGTAAGGATGGTCCAAAGCCACCCTACATGGCAGACCTGGAGCAGGCCCCGGCTTCCATCTGTTCAGCTCTGGCAGTCGTGGCCACTTGGGGAGTAAACCAGCAGTTGGAAGATCTTTGTCTCTCCTTCTCTCTGTATGATACGCCTTTCTAATAACAATAAGTAAACCTTTTCTTTTAAAAAGTCACATTAGGGTCCAGTGCGGTAGCCTAGTGACTAAAGTCCTTATCTTGAACATGCCAGGATCCCATATAGGCTTCCATTTTAATTCTGGCAGCCCCACTTGTGGCCTCAGAAAGCAGTTGAGGACGGCCCAAAGCCTTGGGACCCTGCATCTGCATGGGAGGCCCAGAAGAGGCTCCAGTATCCTGGCTTCAGATAGGCGCAGTTCCAGCCATTGCAGCCACTTGGGGAGTGAATCAACAGACAGAAGATCTTCCTCTCTGTCTCTCCTCCTCTCTATATATCTGCCTTTCCAATAAAAGCAAAATAAATTTTACCCAAAAGGCCGTATTAAATTGCTCATTATTCCTTACTTTTCTATCCTGTAAAATTTAAGCCATCAAAGACTTATAAATACCAATGCTACCAATTCAACTGTTAGCGTAAGGAGAGTGCTTCCACAGTGAGAGCCAAAACGTGTCGCTGTGTAAACAAAGAACAGTCATCACGACAGTAGATCAAGGATCACCAAATATCACCAGAGGGGAAATAAATACATGTACAAACACACATAAATACACACATGCCTTATGTGTGTTATGTATGCACCTTATACTGCTGTAAACTAAGAATAGAATTAGTCCCAATCCATGCCATCAAAATATTTTTAATATACTAGAAAAGACAAATTTTCATCTAGGCAGAGTGGGCGCAGCGCTACAGAGCACTATAACTGAGACACACAAAATGCTAGAGGGGCAGAAAGAAGCTGTTCCCTGAATCAGGAAATACAGTTCATGACTAAGACACCTGATACGGGCCTAGCGCAGTGGTGACAAACAGAATCCTGAGTGCCAGCCTACAGGTACTTTCACTTGGCATGCAGAGTGCCTGAACTTTAAAACAAAAATTACTTGCTAGTATTTCAAAATTCGACATCATACAAAATATACCTTTCCATGTCTCCTTATAAAACTGAAAGATCTGGCAATACTGGATCCAAATTTGACTTGGTAATAACAATCTCATGTCAAATAGATGACGAGCGCTTTGCAACAGAGCAACTCCACAGTTACCCACCATTTCCAACGAAATTTACTTCACTCAAATGCTACCTGAGGATGGGCCTACAGGCACTGAGTCTACCTGTCTCAAAACGGCCTCAGGATTCTGACAGATGAAGATGTCACAAGAACGAAAGGTTTTAGAAATAGCACAGGGGAAAGCTCACAGCTCAGGTATGACGGCACAGGGCAGTCCGCTCGAATCGTTACTGCACCAGGGAGAACAACAATGGGGAGGCGTGAGGACGGAAAGATAAAGTAACACCATGGAGACCAGACTACATGAGTACCGAGAAAGATCGCGAAATTAACCTCAAAGTAAGCTTATTTCAGTGCAAAAAATTCTGAAACTGAAGCATAAGCTGGGGCCTTTTCAAAAGTCATGGAAACACATATTATGAAAACCCTGCAAGGATTTCTAAATTTACATCGTAATATCATTTTTTCATTAACTTTAAGTAACCTTATACACTCCCAAGACACACAGAGAAAAATAATGTGGATACAGATACCAGTTGATTTATCAACTGAAAGGTACAAAGTAAATTTACCCACTTAGAAGCATTCTCTCTGTACCTACTACGCGTCAAGCTTTCAAATGGAAAACTAAGATAAGACACAATTTCACTCCACAGGTCCAACAGGAAAAGCTCACACAATTATTGCACAAAGTTCAATCACTGTTCTGTGCAGACAAATACACAAGTTTTGGATTTTTTTCTTTAACTATCTTATGCTATCTGGGTGACAGCAAATAATACTACTAGGAAAGCACAAATGTAAAAATACATATCCCATAAATGTAATTCATGTAATTTTATTAAAAAAAAAAAAACTCGTGTTTGAAAATAGTGAGTACAGGTCACCCTTTTAACATAAGCAACAAATATTGAATGAGCACTGTGGATGTTCCAGACAGCTGAGCGAGGCTGGAAGGTACATTCTGCGACAGTGGCCAAGTTACTACAGTTATCATTACTAGTATGATTAGCACAGGCTTCGATGGGTTCATAATCTAGCAGGAAAAGCATTTTTTGAAAAGTAACACTGGGCAAATGACGTCATCCTGCATTACTTTTAGTTGAGTTTTACAAGTGATGCCGAAAACCCCCAAACCACTGGAACCTTCACAGTAGGCTTACTAAGCAAAAGCACACACGTACACACGTATGTGCTCTCGTTTAGCAAAAGCGCGGCGGTGTGGTTCCACAGCTGGGAGCACCTGACGCCGTGAGGCGACCCCCGCCCGCACCTCGGGCGGGCGGCCAGCGCGGCTGCTCCCGCACCGACCCCATGCCGCCCTCACGCCGTCCAGGCGCAAGACGCCGGGGTCAGCCTAGTTTCATACGACAACAACGATCGTTCCCATCGACCACCCGAGAGCTCTGGCCGCCCCCACACGCCTCTTCCCAGGCCCCGGGGACGCCCAGCGAGGTCAGCCGTCCGCACCGGCCCCAGGGCCCCGCACACTCGAGCTGTCCCAACCCAGCGAGCCCGCCCCCGGCCCGCCGCGGCCCTCACCGCACTCACGGACACCCACTGGCCGCCGCCACACTCCCGGAAGTACGCCTGCGGCGTGGAGGCGGGTCCGCGTACGCGGAGGCGGGACGGCACCACAACAGTTCCGGGTCTAGTGTCTCCCGCCCCGCGTCGGGCCGGAAAGGAGCTCGGCTCCCGTGGGTGAGTGGGGTCTTCTGGGGGGGTGGTCTCTGTGAGGAAGGTAGTCAACTCTGACGTAAAGTAGGGCGGCGTGTCCAGCATCCTTTTGAAGGAGTGCCTTGGGTGCAGAAAGGTCTGTCCTCGGAAGTTTATTGAGCTCCAAACACCTCAGAGGCCCTGGGGACAGCCGGGTAAACGAGGGGGTGGGGGTATGGAGCCACCTTCCAAATAAGCTGACCATAATCAAATCAACGAGCTGGAGTTAGACTCTACGTCGTTAGGGACAGGACGTTAAGAAAGTGTAAACGGGAGAATGTGACAGAAGGAAGGGAGGGAGAGCAATACGCCTTAGGAAGATTTGGGGGGTAGTGCAGCCCACCTATGACGAGTAGCAAGTGCCCAGGCCATAGGGTGGGACACGACTTGGCAAGTTCAAGGTAAAGAAAGAGAGCACGGTGACCGGGCAGAAACAGCAAGAGGAGAACGGCAGGAGCTGAGGTCTAGTCTTAGAGGCAGCAAATCTTGTAAGGCCTGGAAGGCAGCATACAGACTGGAATCTCGCTGCAAACGCCAGAGGGATGCGCTCTGATGGGTGACTTGAGATTATTTCTGACTCCTCATCAGAACAATTCGGTTGCCCCTGAGCATGGACATGCATGAAACCCAGTGACAGCCAGGGAAAAAAATATCACACAAGACAACCTTGCTTGGCAAAGAAGAAAAGCCCAATCCCCAAGAGAGGAAAAAGACTTGGTGTTTAAGGAAGTCAGGTTTTCCAGCCCTGTGTAATGACAGCCTTCAGAATTATCGTCTTTATTTGTAGATGGGGCAAATGTCACTTCATAAAACCCTCAGATATTTTCCTTGGATTCTTTTAAGATGATTTGCTTTTTTTTTTTTTTAATTGATTTTTTTTTTATTGGAAAGTCAGATTTACAGAAAGAAGGAGAAACAGAAAGATCTTCCATCCACTGATTCATTCCCCAAGTGGCTGTAACAGCCAGGGGTGAGCAAATCCAAACCCAGGAGCCAGGAACTTCTTCCCCATCTCCTATGCAGGTGCAGGATCCCAAGGCTTTGAGCTGCCCTCCATTGCTTTCCCAGATCACAAGCAGAAAGCTGGATGGGAAATGGAGCAGCTAGGACAGGAACCGGTATCCGTATGTGATTGCAGCACGTGCAGGGGGAGAATTTAGCCACTAGGCTATCACACTGGGACCTTAAGATGATTTTCTAAGCATAGATGCATCAGTATCTTTGGGAACTTGTTTAAAATACCTGTTCCAAAAAACAAATCAAAAAAGCATAAGGATAAAGTAGTTTCCTTTTTGTACTGTAACGAAAAATGTGTGAGTTTTGGATCTTAAGTAGTGAATCTTGGTAGGCCACTTTACTGTGCTGTGTCTTTAAAATATTGTTAATAATAATGACAAGGTTTATACCCTTTTAGAAATCAAAACTTTTAGATAACTTTGAACATGCAAAGTTATTCATTTTAAAGTCAATTCACTACATGGTAGCGTAAAGAAGCATTTTATAAAGATATATTTTCCAGATTTAAAAACTTTTTTTAAGAGATTTATTTTATTGGAAAGTCAGATACACAGAGAGGAGGAGAGACAGGAAGATCTTCTATCTGATGATTTCACTCCCCAAGCAGCCGCAACGACTGGAGCTGAGTCAATCTGAAGCCAGGATACTGGAGCCTCTTCTGGGTCTCCCATGCAGGTGCAGGGTCCCAAGGCTTTGGACCTTCCTTGATTGTTTCCCAGGCCACAAGCAGGGAGCTGGATGGGAAGCAGGGCTGCCAGAGTTAGAACCAGCGACTATATGGGATCCCGGTGCGTGCAAGGCAAGGATTTTACACTATCACGCTGGGTCCTAAAATCTTTTTTGAATATCTGGCTGGGTAGAAAACAGCTGCATTCTCTTATCTCTTGCATCTGTTTTTGTGTGGTATCACTGTATTGTGAAAGAATGAAGGGCGAATGTCTCAGTAGTACTGTGAAAATGGTCTTTGAGAAAGGTCCCAGGGACACCGCGGAATCCTTGTACCACATTTTGGGAATTGCTGCATTGGGATATTGTCATGACAATAAAAAACCTCGGTCTGATTTATAGAGCTTGCAATCATATGCACAGTTAAAAAAAAAAAAAGGCAAATACCGAGTAAGTAAATCTAAGTGGGGCCCAGAAATCTGCATCTTTAAAATCACTAGAGATTAATTGCATGTAAGAATTGCAGTTAAGAAAAATCTCAAATAGATTTAGTTCTCCAGAGTGTTCTGCCTGCTAAAATCAAGAAAGCTGAATTTACTTATCTTCAGATCTCTGTATTAAATTTGCAGAGACTGAAACTATAGACAGTTAGTTAGAATTTGGTAGCAGCACCTTTGTGATTATAAAACTGACAAGTGTTTAGATTCAGAATCTGAAGTACTTGCTGTCGTCAGTGGCCCTGTGCGAGGACTAGGCTGACCTTCAGGTGTGTGAGTCATCACACATTTTTAAAATTTATATATTTGAAAAGCAGAGTGACAGGAATAAAGATCTTCCTTCTGCTAGTTTACTCCTTCAGTGGCCACAACAGCCAAGGCTGAGCCAAGCTAAACCTAGAAGCCAGGAGCTCCATGCATGTCTCCCATGTGCACGGTGACTGAGGGAATCGGACTCTCTTCAGCTGTTTTCCCAGTAACATTAACAGGGAGCCAGATCAGAATCCAGGCTGGCACTCACATTGCTGCTCCTCTCAGATAAGGGTTCCCTGTGTTGCTGGCAGCAGGTTAATGTGCTGCATCACAGTGCCAGCCTGCATTACATTCTTTTGAAGAGATGAGTGATTGGTGAGAGAGGAAATTTGTGGAGGAAATTTGAGAGAGGAAATGCTCTGTGCTGAAAGAGAGACAGAAATACATCTAGAACTAAAAGTCTGTGAGAATGTTTCCTAAATAAAATGAAATTAGAGCTATACATTAGAGGATGAAATTCCCACAGGAAGGCAATCATGGATGGGGCAGAAAGTTTTAAAGCAAAAGAACAGCTTGAACCAGTGCTTTAAGATAACGGTTATTTATAGAGTCTAGAAAAAGAAGTGTTGTTGAGACTGTCTGCCACAGTGAAAAAGTGAGGACGGTTCTAATACTGAAGCAGAGAAAGCAGTGGTGATAGCAGCCAGCCTTCAGATGAGGGAACAGAGTACGTGGTCGCTAACTCAGGATAGTGATGCAACTAGAGATCAAACTGAGCCTCAACACTCATTCCTTCAGCAAGTTACCATGTGCACAGCGCTGGGGGATTCTTGCTTCTCTTTAGCAGCCTGACTCTGGTCCTGGCGAATTAGGAATGCCACACCAAAATCTTAAGTTATCTCAGTGGGCAGTAAAAAATCCACCACTAAATTTTAAAATTGCCTTGCCTTTCTTGGGGTGTGTTGAGCTTACACAGGAGGAAGGCTAGCAGTAGCACTAAATCATCTCATCCTCAGGACTATCCCACAAGGTAGCTAACTTTTTATGATGTGAGAACTAAGACCACAACAACTCAGGGCTTCCCTCTGGTCTAGAATTAGGCACTTTAACTCCAGAGCCCATTCTCCTGATCACTGTGTTAGTCTTAAGATGTTGATATGGTAAAATTAAAAAGTCTGTGGGAACTATTACCCATCTACATGTTGGACAAATAGATCTAGGAGTAAGAATGAGGAATCTTATTTTATATACCTTGACTCTTAAAAAGATTTTCATTGGAAAGGCAGATTTACAGAAAGAAGGAGATACAGTAAGACCCTCCATCTGCGCTGGTCATTGTCCAAGCAACCACATGGCCGGAGCTAAACCAATACAAAGCCAGGAGCCAGGAACCCCTGCCCCATCCCATGTTTTCCACTTGGGTGCAGGACCCCAAGACCCTGAGCCAAACTCCTCTGCCTCCCCAGGTCATAAGTATGGAGCTAGATGGGAAGCAGAATAGCCAGGACACAAATCGGCATCCACACAGGATTCCAGCACCTGCAAGGGGAGGATTAGCCAACTGAGCTCTAGGCCCTAGATACACCAAGTTTGAAGTATAGTACTGAGGGATGTTTTACACTATAGAGGAAAATATTGTGGTGAGAGATCATAAATCTAAGCCTATTCCATTGGTTTTGTTATGGTGGTGGTTACTTGTATCCAGTAGCTATTTATATATATAAGGTATATATCTATTTGTTGATTTTTCTTGAAAGTTAAAATTAGATCTTCCAGCCACTGGTTCACACCCCAAATGGCTGCCACAGCCAAAGCTGGACCAGTTTGAAGCCAGGAGCAAGGAGCTTCTTTCAGGTCTCCCAGGTTAGTTCAGGGGCTTCTTTCCCTGCTTTCCCAGGCCATTAGCAGGGAGCTGCATAAGAAGTGAAATAACCCAGACACAAACCAGCATCCATATGTGATACTAGGGCCACAGGTGGAATGTTGGCCTGTTACACAATCACGCTGCTATTGCATAGCTATTCTACAATTGCTTATGCCAAAAAGAACAGAAGTCACAGGTATAAGTGGAATAATCCTGGGTTGAAAAGAAGACTCACGAAAAATAAAGTGCAGAAAAAAATGTTTCTCAGTATGCTAGAAAATCTATTGAAGTTTGAGATGTGACTGCCCAAATGCTAGTTCTGAGGTTCATGGCAGCACCCAAATACTAGTATGAGCATAAGAGCTGTTTAGAAGGTTTAATTAGGAACTTCTAAGTAAATTAGCCTCAAAATGGTGATTTCTATTTTGAGTATCACTAACCCTTTTCAATAATAATTGAATATGAGCAGAATAACTGTGTGTTTGTTCATTGCAAAGAATAGAGTAGTGCTAACAATCTGTTCTTCATTTGCCTTTTCTCCCCCTTGCCAATTCAAAATTCCACTTCATCAGTTTGGGTGCTGGATGTGTAGGAACTCCTCCACCTTCCAAGTATGACAGTGCAGAGAAGAGCGGATGAGCTGTAAATATAACTAGAACACGTTTGTTATGGAGATGGAAATATTAATATCCCAGTATCATTGGAGCAAAAAAACAGTGCCATCTGGGCATCAGTGTTTTTCCCCATTTGAGTTATCCCAGGACTCTTATGAAAACAACAGCTTCCTCAGCCAACTTAATATTGAGCCACCAGAACGGAAATCAGCCACATCACTTCCTTGTTTACTTCTGTTGAGAATTGGAACAGAATGGAAATATTATTTTCTCTTGCAAGTTGGCAAGAACAGTAGTAAGGCAATCTGTTGGGGATGACAGATATAGGCTCTCTTTCCTCTTTTTAAAATAGTTGCTATTCAAAATGGTTTTTGTAGGGTAGCATCTACATTTCTGATCATTCATGATGCTAGCAAAGCTTATATTTTTAAATATCTAAAAGATGCAAAGAGAGATGGATTAACCTTGGGTGTCACATTTACCTGGTATATTCTTCTTGGTACTGAAGGAAGGCAATATGAAATGGACACCAAAGAACTTTGTCCAGAACCCTCTGTTTTTACAGGAAAGTGGTGTTTCGATTTTCTTTTTGAACCCTTTTTTTTTCTGCTTCAAATGTCAGCTGCATAATATTATGTACAATGATGGGAATAGTATTATAAGAAGTCTCAAACTTTCAAGTGCATTGCATTCCTAAAATTCACAAATTCCTCCTCTTTTACATTCACAACACAATTATGCTTCTCTTTGTTACTTCTCTCACTGCCTTGTGTGTAATTAGCTTTTTCTGTCCCTGCCTTTGTCCACACTGTCTTCCGATAGTCTAGGGCAGTGTGCTTATTCACCTGAGCATTGCTCACAGTGCCTGCTACTTCATTTTGCACACGATAGGCCCGTAATTCAACCATGCTGTTTTAAAGTCAGGCTACAATGAGCAGAGAGATCCTGGTCATTCAGAACAACCTGGCTTAAGTCAGGGGAGACGAAGTGCTAAGAAATACATGCAGGGTATTTCCTCTCCCTACTTTGTTTTTTGTCATGGAGCTGTGTCTCCTAGTAGTTCCTGTCAGAGTCCCTTGAACCCAGGATGCCCCGGGAGGGGTATCAAGTGCTTAGTGCTGACTGAGCGTAAAGGGAATTACAAGTCCTGTTTCCTAACATGAAATCATTGTACCAGATTACTTGTGCCTGCTTTGACCTAAGAGCAGCTCAAGGATGTTCATCATGTTTCTCTGTTCCTGTTTTATGCGTTTCTCTGAACTGTTAGTCCTGTGACTGTACATAACAGGAGCTGCAGTCCTGGCTACGTGGGCAGTTTGCTGGCCACAGTCCAGTGTTTAAGGAGAATAGTTCCAGACCCATAGTGAGGACTGATTGCTTCCACAGGCGTGATTCAGTCGTTGGTGCCGAGCTGCATGTTTTCTCCTCTACCTGACCGTTTCCCCACTTGCTTCCCTGTTGACATGTTCAGTCTTCATCATTGTGGTTTTAATTTTGAAGAAATATGAAATAGAAATGCTTATTTCTTCAACAAACGAAACAGTTGTTTTGGGAGTCAAGAGCCAGAACAGCATGAACGAATATCTCTCCCTGCGGGTCCCTTTCCACAGTAACCTCTTGCTCCTCTTTTCTTTCATTCCATCCCTCTTTGCTTGTTCATGTCAGTGAATTGACTTCCTTGCGGACCCGAGAAACACAGGAACCACAGGCAAACTGTATAGCAGATTCAGATCTGCAAACTCAGGGTGCAAAAACAGCACAACCTTGTTGGTGGGGTCCAAGCTAAGCTTGGACACTTGCTTTTAATGAGAATAGGGGAAAAGTGAAATTTACATTTTGTATTGAAATTATGTGATGGTGTGTATTATCCTTGTCCCTAAGATTCTGAAATGGTTGCAAAGGATTCTGAGTAAAAGTGTTTGATAATGATTGAACTATAAGGTTAGCACAATATCTTAAAAACAACAACAACAACAGTAGTTAGAGTTTATTTGGAATTGCCAGAATCTGTGTTTTTATGTGTACCATCTCATTCAGACTTGATAGTAGTCCTATTAGGCTAGGTAATATTTTTCTCATTTGAAAGATCAAGGGGCTGAGACCCTGAGAGTAATCATTTTGTAAAACTTGCAATGTTGGGTTCTCAGAGCCAGGATTCAAATTCAGGAAATCTAACTCCAGAGTTTGTACTCTGAACCCTCCATCCCCACCTGCTTCCTTGCCTTTATCAGAGACAATCAGTTACACTCTTCTAGAGTAATCTAGACCCAGAGTGCAATATGAGTGATTAGTCTCTGTTGAAAGTGTTGTGTCTGAAGAATGATTAGGCGTGGTTGTTGCTTGAGGAACAGTAACATTTTTTTAGTGGTACTTAGAAGCTAGCATGGACCCACTTGTCTCAGAATCACCCAGGGAGCTAATTAAATACCAGAAATTCTTATTCACTGGGGCTGAGATGGAACCCAGAGATGTATAATTTAACAAACTTGGTAGATGACTATAATATTCTTTCTGGATAGGAAATTGGACTTGGTGCTATTTTATTGCCACCATTATATTCAAGAAGATGACAGTTGAAGACATTGAGGGGTTGGAGTTTGAAGAATACTTGTAGGTAGGATTTGGTACTCGCTGCAGCAGCACATGTACTAAAATCAGAATCACACCAAGTCTGCAGTTTTTGTTTTACTCTAAATAGTCCATTCTTCAGGTTAAAAACATGTAGAAAATTATTGGCATTATTCAGTCATCTTTTCAGGGGCTAATGAAAATTAAATAACATTTATAACTTACTATAATTCGGATTTTGAGGAGTTTAAAAATAGAATTTTCCATTGCTTTTTATGTTCTGTGATCAAACAGCCTCTCTGTAAGTATAAAAGAGGATAAATGTAACTTCCAAAACTGATTATCTTGAGCTTCTGCAAGAAGTAAAGCCAGATAATTCCTCCCATATTTTACACAAGTGGTAGTTCAAAGTATTCTTTGAGAGATGGTGATTTAAAAGCAAAATCAAATTACCAGGAAGAGATTTTTTTCTTTTCATTCATGATAATTTGTGTCTTTTAAATTGGCCTATCTTTCCCTATAATTTTATATTTGCATTTCTACCAATTAGACACTTAAGATGTCAGTTATTCTCTTAGCTATTTTAGATAATTCTACAGACTTTAACAGCTAGAAATTTGGTATTTTTGCAAACTGGTGAGAATACTGTATTGTATCTCAATATTGAAGAACCCATTAAAGGAAAGTTCATTTGCCTAAATAAAACTCCTGCCCAAAAGGGAGCTTCTATGGCCTCAAAAGTCAATAACTATGTATGTATATGCAGTAAATATAATTTTCTTCCTAACATTAAGGCCAAAAACTACCACAGGTACCCTGCATTATTTATATTTAATGTATCTGTGCTTGAGCTATTCAAATTTTGAGCTCCATGATTATGATTATAATATGCCAGTTAATTTACATTATTGATATGACAACATATGGTAATGGTGCAGGTTGAAATAAAAGATCATTAAGCTAAATATTTTAGCTTTCACTGGCTCCCTGTTGCATACAATTGCAGAATGAACCGAAAATCATAGTCTTTTAAAACTAGAAGAGTGCTTAGAGATTATCTCATCTGGTCTCTCCGTTTTGACAGAAGAACAAACAGAAGCCCAAAGAGAATGCCACCTGCCAAGGTTGTATAGCTAGTTAGTAGCAAAGCTAGGGCCAGGATCAGTGCTTCCTAATTTAATGTTTTGTCTACCATCTCTAAATGAGTTTTTAAGGTGGTATTCTCTAAACACTCTGATATTAGCACCATTTTCTCTAACCAGTTTATTTCTGGTGTTTAAACTCTGGTAAAGCATTGTTTCTCAGCCTTTTGGCTAAGATCAAGTGTAAACTCTGGGAAAACAGCCCCTCATGATTCTTACTCCGTTGGCTAAACTTTTTATCGGACTTTCTTTTAGGTTGGTCTCCGCTCTCATTTTTTTAATCTTGAAGACTTCAAACTGTACCTGGATCTACCACTTTTTTGGGAAAGTTCCCTACCCAGCAATAAATTACATACTGCATCCTTGTAATAATACAGAAGCTTTTGAATTTTTCAGATTGAAACAAGATTTTTTTTCTTCCATTTCCCATGAGGCCCCATCGTTGCTTATTCACTTTAGTGGTGAGTGTTATTGTTCCGGCTGCTTTTGTTTTGGACGATGCTGACTTCAACCAAACAGTACCCCAGGCAACAAATGGTAGTTCGCACAACGCATCATTTCTCCCAAGCTTTGAACTCTCAGCAGGTTCTCACTTGGGTGAAGATGTCATCATAGCCAAAGAAGGAACAAGCGTTTCAATTGAGTGTCTTCTCACAATCAGTGACTATGAAGATGTCCATTGGTACAACTCGAAAGGACAGCAACTGGATGGCAGCAGCAGAGGTAACTGGGTCAGGGGGCAGTTAATCAAGATTATTCATACTCAATAAGAAAGCTCAAAAGATGAGGTGCCAAGATGAATAGCTTAAAACTTTCGAAAGGCCTAGGATATTGTACCTATCAGTTAAAAAAAAAAAGCAGTTATACTTATTGAACTACACAAAGAGTAGTAATAAATGTAAAGACGTTCACATGGTTACAATGAGCTGTCTTCTCTGTTGATGATTTCCTTCTTTGTTGAAGGTAGACCATATCAGGACTACTACATACAGCTGCGTGGGTGGTCATTCATCTACACTGCAGAGTGAATACTTCAGTGTAGATACCCCATTGTGGATACATCAGTAAGGGTTTTTGAGGGGACAGTGCCATGGTGTTGTTGGCTAGGTCTCTACTTATGGTGCTGGCATTCCATGTGGGCACCAAACCAGTTCAGTTACCAGCTGCTCCACTTCTGATCCAATTCCCCTACAATCTGTCTAGCCCCGTGGAAAATGGCCCATGTGCTTGGGCCCCTGGAAGATTCTCTCTCTCTCTCTCTCTGTCTCTCTCTCCCTCTTCCCTCTAACTCTGCCTTTCAAGCAAAACCAAACATTTTTTATAAAGGAGGAGGGTTAGCAAGACTTCAGAAAATGTGTCATTAATATAAAATTGTTTGCTGTAAAATGAGTTCTTGCAAATGTTAGAGGAAAACCATTTTTGCTTTTTTCCCCAAACATAATGACCTTCTACAGATAAGTGGTCACCAAGAAGTTTGAATTGTTAATCAGCCTTTTGAAAATGCATGCCTATTAGATCAGAATGTCTAGAATGTTGACCATAGTGTGTATTTTCAGCATGATTTGAGATTCTGTATTTTGAACTCACTGAACTAGACTCCCATCTCCTCTGGGTTGTAGCATAACTTGACCAAATACATCTGAGATTTGATTATGCAGTCAATGTAATCATTATAGACAAGCTATGTAAATAATTCTTTAGGTTACAGCAAGACCAGCCAAGTGGAATGGCAATTCCACTTTCCTATTTTGCCATTACTTTGAAAGCCACTAATATATATCATTGATGCTTTCAGCAGCAGCTTTAGAAAATTGAATTAAATTTTATGAATCTCAAATGAGAGGATTTTAAAGAGCATGTCAGTCTCATAAGAACTTCATAAATCTTGAACTGTTACTCACAAGTAAGCCAGAGTTTAGATTTTGGTTGTAATGCAGTGGTTGGGGAATGGAGTGTGTATAGTTCATTATACCTTGGTTCCAAAGGGTGTCGTTTTTGTAGCTTTAAGTTCATAGAACAGAGGTTTATGGAATAATGGCTCTATTCTCCTTTTCAGCATTAATGAATTAGTAATTCTTAAAAATTGAATTAGAGAATTAGCCAAGCTTTGGTGGTGATGAAAGGATCATAACCCAGAGTGTTTACTGTTATATATGCCACTAAAATAATCTGTAACTCTAGAATATTGGGATAGCAAAGATTTTTAAATAGTGTCCCCAGCCTCTTCTGGGATACCATCTCTACACAGTAAGATACACACCCCCATACCATCTAATTAACCCATCTGAGAATTTGCCACAGAACTACAAATTGTGTAGGCAAAGCAGAGTTGCCAAAAGATGTTGAATCACAGTGGGTGGTCAGTATGCTTTATTGTTCACACACTTAGGTACTTCTACACATGTGCTCCCTAAGTGAGATATCTTATGTATAGAAGAGAGGCGGTATGATTTAGATTTAAAACAGAAGTATACACTTCCTAAGGACAGCTTATCCTCCTTGCCAACTTTTCCATTTATTCTGACTTGTGATGTATGTCTTTTGGGTTAGGCTTCAGATAGTCCCACCAGAAAACCAAAATATCACCATCAGCAAACCATTCCTAACAAAACAAATTAGCACATGCATTAGCCACAATAGCCAGTCAGTAATTGAACAAGTGTATTAAATGCCACGGATTTTTAAAATATATTTTTTGCTGTATAATTTCATTATAGAATGAACATAGTTAAATGAAAAATAAAAATTACTCATAATCTATTACCCCAGAAATAACCATTTTTTAAAACTTCTTAAGCATATCCTTCTAGTATATCCTTCTAGTATAGTATAGGTGGAGAATGTGGTATAGATATATATTAAATTTTTTTATTAAGATTTAGTCATCTAGAATTATGTAGACATACCTCTCTCCTTTAAAGGCTGTTTTGTTTAACTGTGAAAACCAAGCTTTAGTGATTATTAATGTCAGGAGCAAAGATTTTTATTTCCTTTTAGGTTCTAGACTAATTAAATTGTCTCTGAACATACTATTCTGCCCCGTTTTACATAATTGAAACAAAAAGAATCTGAGTTAAGTGAAGATACTTTGATGAAGAGGTAGTATACCAATGAGACGGTTGGCACATTTAGTAACAATATTCTTTATGCTGTGATTTTTTTTTTCATTTTTGTTGGATTACCAGGTGGAAAATGGTTGATTTCCGATAACTTCCTAAATATTACCAACGTAGCTTTTGAAGACCGTGGACTCTATACATGTTTTGTCACATCTCCGGTTCGTGCCACCTACTCTGTCACCCTACGAATTGTCTTCACCTCAGGAGACATGAGTGTCTACTACATGATTGTTTGCCTGATTGCATTTACAATCACTCTCATCTTGAATGTCACACGGCTGTGCATGATGAGCAGCCATCTTCGCAAGACAGAGAAGGCCATCAACGACTTCTTCAGAACAGAAGGGGCTGAGAAACTTCAGAAGGCCTTTGAGATTGCCAAACGCATCCCCATCATCACCTCTGCCAAGACCCTAGAGCTCGCCAAGGTCACACAGTTTAAGACCATGGAGTTTGCACGTTATATTGAAGAACTAGCAAGAAGCATTCCTCTTCCACCCCTTATTCTAAACTGCCGAGCCTTTGTTGAGGAGATGTTTGAGGCTGTGCGAGTGGATGACCCTGATGACATAGGGGAAAGAATTAAAGAGAGACCTGCCTTGGATGCTCAAGGAGGCATTTATGTCATTAACCCAGAGATGGGCCGGAGTAATTCACCAGGAGGAGATTCAGATGATGGCTCTCTGAATGAACAAGGCCAAGAGATAGCAGTTCAGGTTTCTGTCCATCTTCAATCAGAAACTAAAAGTATTGGTACAGATTCTCAAGAGAGCAGTCATTTCATCCCACCAGATGATACAGGATCTGCCAACTCTAACTCCAGCTACAAAGACGGAGTATATGAAAACTCACAGGTGTGAGTTGGCTCACTACCTACAGTAACAGCTGTCACTCAGAAAGGGACCTACTTCTCGGAGGACATAACATTGTCACCAAAAGATGGCGAGGGGTTTCCCCTTGTTGATATGCACATTAGAACATGAGTTGCCAAAACCTCTGTTAAAATGCAGAGTTTTTCCTAGCTGATATTCCAGTCTCTCCTTGGGCCTGATGAGATGATAAATGTTAACCATTAAGGGAGCTTGAGAGACAAATACCATGGGAGAAGTCCTAACACTCTCATGGCTTCTTTTTCTGGTCATATTTTTTCTGTTGGTAGATCTGATCCTTACCTTGAAGCTTCAAGTTTTCCCATCAGTACTCTGAGGAATTTGCATTACTTGAAATCTGAAGTTTCTAGCCCTGTAACTTATCATTCATCCCCTAAATAAACCACCAGAATCTTCAGCACATCTCTAAGGAAACCCTTCCTCTAGGTTTCCCAGTCCCTTTTTTGACCTGGCTGAGACTTTATTCTAGTATCTAGATTCCACATCAGTGCAGCAATGCACATGTGTGGGGTATTTTTTAGATATTCTGCCATGTGTAGCTGACAGTTACATGTGCTAAGTTGAATCTTCAATGTAGCAACGACTATCACATCAAAATCAGGGAGTAACTGCTCATTAGCAAACTATTTTCCTTGAGTGAATCGGTCCTTCTTGGAATATATCTTGTCTTTTTAACTTACAGAGAATTGTTTAGGTCATTGAAGCTGGTAGCGATTTCCAGTTTGATCTTCCAGCATGAGCTGTTTGTTCCTAAGGAATAATGTCTTTGAAGGTTTTAGAATAAGAACAAGTCAAATCATTTGTTTCTAATCAGTCATGGATTTTGATATTCCTGTAATGGAATTCTCAGGCTTTCCTCTTTCTTAGAAGTGTTAAACTCTACTTGTGGGTTCTGTGTTGAGATCCCATTCTAGAAGATAACCAAGAATCATTCTTCTTTGGACCTCTGTCAGTACTCTTGCCCTTTGTGGTCTGAAATATGGTGCTAAAGGTTGCATGCCTCCTTGTTTTGTTTATATTTTATTGTGGAGATTTTAATTTCTCTGCATTTCAGATACATAACTCTGACCTAGGGCTGCTTTTGTGGCCTTTGAAAAGCATGTGCCTGAAATCAAGTAACTGTGTTTCATGTGTTACTGGATTGAACATACAGACACACAAATGATCTAGACCTAAAGAGGGAGAAAAATGATGCATAATGTGATGTGTAATAAACACTTAAGATGGCATTTCTTGTCTAAGATCAGATATAATGGAATTAAATACTCTTCAGAATCGATTCTTCAGCTGCAGGAAGGTTGGTGAATTTGGCAGTGGAACTCCATTTGGTGTTCCACATTTCTTCATTTGGCATCTATTTCTCAAAGTGATAACTTCACCTCAAGTGTCCTGAGGGAAATGTGCAGAGATTTTACCAGGATTTAAATTTAAGGTTCCAGCTAGAAGAAGATAGGAAAGTCAAGAGTGTGACAGTAGAACTCATGCCTGCCTTTGTCCAGACTTATGAGAAATAACACATCTGCTCCGGATCGCAAGAATGAATCAGTGTGCAGTTTTACTGGATAAAGATGATAACGCTGCCTTTCTGTCTCTCAGGCTGTTTCCATGGAAACCTCTAGAGCAAAACAAAAGCTACCAATCATTTAGCCAAATCTTGCCTTGGCTCACAGACCTTTGTTTCATTAATGAAAACTGTTTTGTACATTTGGCTATGAGAGCAAGAACTCTTGAACATATCCTAGATTATGGAACACATTTTCCTATTTTGCATTGTGTCTTTTGAAAGATTTTTTAAAATAAATTTAAATCCCTTAATCTGCAGTCAAGCCCCTGAAGATCGCTCACATATTCAGATGTTATCTTCAACCCTATTGTACTATGGAAGTTTGGGGTCATCTCTTAGAATATAACTTGTCATATTCAACAGAATGGCTTTACCTCATAAGAGGAAGTATTTAAAAAGCTATTTGCACAATACTTTTTAATATTTAAATGCTTCAGTGTGTCCTAGATAACTTATTTTAGAAAGCTAACAATCGCCTGATTTGGTAACTGGAGTACCCAGTTTGCTTGGAATCTTCCACATTATGGTGCCACTTAGGAGGAATTAAACTAGGTCAAAATTTAGTCATATTTAGTATTTTGAAACGCTCGTTTGCAGGAGGAAGAAAGCAACCCTTACTAGCATTTTTTGTATCAAATACTTCTCACATTTAATTAACAATCCCATATTATCTTTTTTGTATAATGCTTAATGCTTGGAACTTAAACTGCAGTGTAAAAGATTTTTGGTGTTAACTGTGGTGTATTTTTAACTTTTTGTTTTTGCTGGATTTTATAGTTGTTGAAAAATACCTTTACCCAGAAAAATATATATATTTAAAATGGTTGTCATCTCATTAGCAACTTTGTATTGTGATTTAATGAACCTTATTGTCCTTATAAAATTAAATAAATTTACCAAAAGTCAACACTTAAGCATCTTTAAAAATCCATTTCCAGTGTAAAACCAGAAATACATCTTTTGAATTGATATCCCAGTTGTGCTTATGGGTTATTTGATTACACCTATTGTCAAGGTTGTATATGTTTTGACAGCTGAATTTTAGAGTCAGATCCAGTGAGCATTTTTATTTCCTACTAACTACTCTGATGTAACTTTCCTCGCTGGATAATGGCTCCTGTCTTCTTTGCCTCACTTCCTGTTTTAGAGTCAAAGCAGTATTCTCACATGCTCTCTTCAGTCCTTCTGCCACTTTGAGTCCCTCTGTCCTGTCCTTGTCTCTCCCTGTTTGTGATGTCAGATTTATTGGGTCTCTGAATGACACTAACTACTGCATGCTTGTTTTCTAGAACCCACCCTGTCCCAGGTGCTTGTCTGGTTTCTACACACTAACAGGTGTAACACAAGTGTATTATGTTTTCTGAGTCATGCATAAGAGAATGTAGCGTTCACTCAACTGGGCTGGGAATGTTGGGAATGCTCAGCCGTACACAGTAACTCCTAGTTTGTCATGGATGTATTTTACAAAAATGATTAAGTATTACTTTATAGATTTCAGATGTTTATGTTGTCATCATTTTAATAGATAGATGCAATATAATTTTGTCCTTTTTTAGTAGAGAAGTTGTACTTGAATGTAAATTATAATGTTCAAAATGGAGTGATTTAATTTCTCTGAAATTATGCCATATATTTCATTTTTGAATGGAATAGAATTCATTATAAATTATTTTATTGATTTTTTTTTTTCATTTTATTTAAAAGATAAACACAGATCTTCCAACCACAGATTCATACCTCGAATGTCTGCAACAGCTAAGATTGGGCCAGGCCAATCATCCAGCTCTCCACAGGGATGGTGGAGACTCAAGTACTTGAACCATTACCTAATACTTCCCAAGGCGCACATCAGCAGGAACCTGGATTAGAAGTGGAGGAGTCAAGGTGGGGGAAAGAGTATATGGTGCTATGCAATAGTGGATTAAGCCTCTACCTGTGGCACTGGCCTCCCATGTGCGCTAGTTTGAGTCCTGATAGCTCCACTTCCAATCCAGTGCCCTGCTGGTGGCCCAAGAGGGCAGCAGAGGAGGACTCAAGTGGCCAGGCCCCTGCACCTGTGTTGGAAATCCAGAAGAAGACTCCTGGCTCCTGGTTTCAGACCAGCCCAGCTCCAACCATTGTGGCCATTTGGAGAGTGAACCATGGATGGAAAATCTCTCTCATTCTCTCCTTTCTCTGTATTCTGTATCTCTTCCCTTCAAATAAAAAAAAAATGAATAAATAAATAAATCTTTGCAAAAAAAGAAGAAAGAAGGAATATAGGAGCTGGGTCTCAACCCAGGCACTCCAGTATGGGATACAGATTTCTCAGATTTCAAGTTTACCACTAAGCTACATGCCTGCCCAGGTGTTAAAGAAGAGCTTTGCATTTAATTTGGATTCCATCATTTCTACACACTTCAACCTTACATGTATTTACAAAGTATCTATATATACATCATGTTGCAAGCCATATGCAAATGAACATGCTGCCCACAACTGACTGCAGATACCAGACTGTCCAGCCTTGGCCTCACTGTGATAATTTCCCGCTTCTGAAGGAAAGGTCTAGAGGATTTACTGCATGTTATTAATGTGTGAGTATAGTCTGTGAGGTTAGGCATGATGAAAAAGTAGTTATGGTAGAAGTGAAAGATCTAACTCAGGGCTCTAGTGTAGTGATGGGAAATGGGCATAAAAAAAAAAGTAATCTCAAGAGAAAAGCAAAGGGAATAGATAGGAGATGTGTCCCATTATTTACATGACATGGTCTCAGAATGAAAACCCAACCCCTATCTTTGTATAGCAAAAGATTCCTGGACTTGAATCTGCCACTAGCCTTACAACTATCATCAAGTGATTCAGCCTCTTTAGGCGTCGGTGAAAAGGAGTTGATCATATAGAAATGCCTCAAAACTTAAAGATTGGGCCTGTCACAGTAGCCTAGAAGCTAAAAGGCCTCACCTTGAAAGTGCCGGGATCCCATACGGGTGCCTATTCTAATCCCAGCAACTCCACTTCCCATCCAGCTCCCTGCTTGTGACCTGGGAAAGCTGTTGAGGACAACCCAAAGCCTTGGGACCCTGCACCTGTGTGGGAGACCTGGAATTGACTCCTGGTTCATGGCTTTGGGTTGGCACAGCCCCTGCCATTATGGCTGCTTCAAGAGTGAATCAATGGGTGGAAGATCTTCCTCTCTGTTTCTCCTTCTCTATATATCTAATTTTCCTATTAAAATAATTAATCTTTTAAAAAACTTAAAGATTAAATGCAACAACACATAAGCCAGTGTTGTGTTAACTATGAAGTACCATAGGTACAATGGGCCCAGTGTCAGTTTTATCTGGTTAAGATCAAAATTATGACTGGTTGCATTTGTAACCAACTAAAGATTCTTCTACATTTCTCAGAATTGTATTTATGTGATGCAGGAACCCAGCTGTGCTTTACTCCTTCCCCTAAAGAGACATTTTTCTCCAATCCAGGGGTAGGCAGTCCAGCACTGGCTCAGGGGCTTAAGGACTGGCCTCTTGACTCCTCTCCATCCTTAGAATTCAGCTTTTATCAGCTTTTGGTCACAAGATATCTTAAGCTGGGTTTCCTGGAAGTATTTCCCAAGACAATGATTCATGTGCAATTAGCTTATTTGAAGTGTTCCCAGAAAGGTAGAGAAGTTGAGAGGAAACCTAATAACAGATGTGTTCATGATTGGGTTATTGCTGGTGGTCAGCTAGGGCTCTCAGGAAGTGATCTTTTTTCACTGTGTGAAGCTGATGCTTTATGTGCCACCTGAAAACCAAAGATCTGGGATAGTTTACCCAACACGCATCTGTCATTAAGTTGAGGGCTACTCTCAGCGTCACTAATTCTGATAGTTGAAATTTGAGTTCTTAAGTCATCACCCTACTATGGTCAGTGTAGAAATGGGGAGTGCCAGGAAGCTAAGGGCAAAACACCACAGAACCTGCCATGACAACTTCACCTCTAAAGTCATGTTTTCTTTCCAGTAAAGGAGAAAAAATGTCAAAGGCCAGGACACATAGCAACTGAGTTTACCTTTTTATCAAGCTTTCCTGAAGCCTCACATGATTAGGGTAAGGGAAATCCCAGACTAGACAGAATTATACCATAAAATTCAAATTTTATTTTATTTTATTTTATTTTTAAGATTTATTTTTATTATTATTATTTTTTTTTTTTATTGGAAAGGCAGATATACAGAGAGGAGAGACAGAGAGGAAGATCTTCCGTCCGATGATTCACTCCCCAAGTGCGCGCAACGGTCGATGCTATGCCGATCCGAAGCCAGGAGCCTCTTCCGGGTCTCCCACGCGGGTGCAGGTTCCCAAAGCTTTGGGCCGTCCTCGACTGCTTTCCCAGGCCACAGGCAGGGAGCTGGAAAGGAAGCGGGGCTGCCGGGATTAGAACCGGCGCCCATATGGGATCCCGGGCGTGCAAGGCGAGGACCTTAACCACTTGCGCCACCGCGCCAGGCCCAAAATTCAAATTTTAAAATAAAAAAAGAGGGCTGCATGGAAGTTGTGGCAATCGATAACACACAGCAAAATCATTTCCATATGAGTTATAGAGCTACAATATATGGATAAAATTGTCAACCATGAAGATAACAACATGCATGAACAAAGGAAGACTCAAGTAATATGCATGGCTCAGATAGCGGAAAGACAAGAAACAGGATTGTACTGGGCCATAATTGGCTTATCCTAGCCTATCTGCTCATCAAAACATACTCACCTCGTACCTGAGGTATGCCAAGTACTTCTCCATGAAACAGGGTCTTTACAGTGAGCCACTAGCATCATGTGTGTTTAATTAGGGCTCAGAAAAATCTCTCCCAAGAGAGCATGTGCTAAGACCCAACTGCTGAGGAGCCAGACATTCAAAGCTACAAAGCAGAAGTAGTCCAAGCAAAGGAAAAAAGCAGTAATGTGCTTGTCTTGTTAGAGAAGAAAGGAATAGGCCATATGGCAAATGAAGAGAGATCTGGTCAGGGAAGAAATCGGGGACCAGGGTTTCATCAATACTTTCTAGTGTTCTAGAAATGAAATTTTTGGAAGAAATCTTAGAGATAACCTAACTTAGAAAAGAAGATTACCAATTTCATGAGCAAAATTTTAATCATGCAATGCAGTAGTACTATTTTTCCCCAAATACTGTCTGCAGCTAAAAAAAAAATAAGGTGCTAATTTTCTTTTAAGAAATTAAACTCCTTTAGAGCCCCTTAAATTCCAATCATGTTCTTGAGTTTTCATGTTTTTGCTGGAACCTATTGATTAGCAAATATATAAATGTAAATACACATATGTCACTCCATCTGCCTGAGAATCCATGGCTCCTGCCAGTGAGCTTATTTTTCTTGACAGTTGGGAATACTGCTTTGCGTCTCGCTCAGCTGTGCAAAAGGGAGGCTCAAGTGTCCTAAGTGATGATAAATCAGCCTTTAAGGGGCCTCCTTCAGCAAGAAGGACTACCCTCTGGGAAATAGCTTGTACAAAGCAGAAGGGAGGTTTATCAGGAAAAAATCCCTCTGTGGGGTAATTTTGCAGTATGAATTTCATAGCTATTGCATTAACTGCAAGTAACTGGACAATTCCTAAGGCTATAGCCCTTTGATCTCTTGAATACCTAATATGGGCTCAGGCATGTTCTTTCAGTTTTTTAACAAATGTTTGTTACACATGAACTGGAGACATTACCACAAGCCAAACCAGAGAGTGTCTACTCATTGGGAACTGAAAATGCATAAGAAGATGGATCAAGTAGTCACAAAGAGGGTATGCAGTAAAAACTGAGAAGTGTGATAACATGATTCTGTGAGCTTCCAGTTCAAAGGAGCCTGATCAAACTGGAGATGGGTGAAGGATTCCCTGAAAAGATGATTCTTAAAGCAAACTAAATTCCTAACGCTGAGCCAGGGACTATGGATCTCTAAGTCATGGGTCTTGGTTAGAAGTAATTCATATGTCAGT